TAGAGGGACATTTATAAAGACCATTTTCCATTTTGAGTCATTGGCACAGGAAGCCCTGAATTGTCTCCTTCAGGTTCAAAACACTGCTATGTCTTGCACTGATTGCCGAGTAAGGCCTTGGGGCTTTATCTATCCCCTTTCCCCGAAAGCAGTTAAGGGCAGAAATGAAGAGAACACAGTTATGTAACCTTCCCTTGTACTCCTTGGAAATAATCGATAGTATTATGGCTTTAAGTTCAAGGATAATGACAGTGGAAACCTGGCCCTATTGTTATAACAGCTTTATTAATAGCTGACAAGAAAATTGCCTTTATTCTTCCAGTAGTCAGAAATGACTATCCCATTCACAAGGGCATTTTCGACTTCCATGAAGTTCTCAGTAATTTCTAAAGAAGAAAAGTCATGGTTTTTGTTATGGGTTGAACTGCATCCTTCCAAAATTATATGTTGAAGTCTTAACCCCCACGATCTCAGAAACTGACCTCATTTGGAAATGAAGTTGTTGTAGGTGTGATTAATCAAGATGAGGTCATAGTAGGAGTAGGGTGGGTCCTTAATCCAATATGACTTCTGTTCTTAAGAGAAGAGAGACATAGAGGGAGGATGGCCATGTGACAACAGAGGCAGAGATTAGAGTCCTGCATCTTCAAGGTAAGGAATACTGTGGATTGCTGGCAAACACCAGACGCCAAAATAAGCAAGCAGGATCTTTCCCTATAGGTTTCTGAGGGAGCATGGCCCTACAGACACCTTGATTTCAGACTTTTAGCTTCCAGAACTATGAGATAATAAACTTCTGTTATTTTAAGCCATGCAGTTTGTGGCAGCCCAAGGAAACTAGAGTACTTGTCATATTTGAAAATCACTCGGAGATCATTTAGTCTACTCTACCAATGAGGAATCATGCTCAGAGAGGTGGAGTGATTTGTCCAGAATCAACTAGATCCTCTGCTTTGACCAGACCAGGCATTCCAACTCATGTAGTTTGGGGTTCCTTACAGAGGCCAGCAATCAGAGGTCAGTGCCAAACAAGGATCTGGCAAATCTTAATTCCAAGAAAAAAGCAGAGGGTCTGGGAAAGCTGATAGAGAAGCCTTCAAGAGTGTAAGTGCCAGGAGCTTTAGACATGGTAGAGCAATGCTAGAAAAACCACCCAAAAAAGGGGCCAGGAAGAGAAATACTGCTGTCAGTATATTCACAGAGTTGTGCAATCATCACTTCAATCAATTTTAGAACATTTGCATTGCTTCAACAAGAAACTCCCAACTCACGAATAGCCACGCCCATCTTCTCCCAACCCCTCAACCCTCTGCTGCCTCAGGCAACTACTTACCTACTCTGTCTATATGCATTTTCCTATACTGAACATGTCACATCAGTGGAATCGTACAATATGTGGTCTTTTGTGTCTGGCTTCTTTCACTTAACATGATGTTTTCAAGGTTCATCCATGTTGCATCCTAGCATTAGTGCTTCATTACTTTTTATGGCTTAATAATATTCCATTGTGTGGATAAATCATATTTTATTTATCCATTGATTAGTTGATGGATCCTGGCCATTTCTGAACCCACCTTAAGACTTAGCACATATTAGTTGTCCAAAAAGCCTTCGTCCACTAAGTATACATTTTGGATCAAAGAGGATGATAGATGATGTAACCCAGGCCTGATGATTTTATATTCTTTTTTTTTTTTTTAATTGCATTTTAAGAACCTTGAGAAAGGTAAAAGAGATTTGCAACATTTGAGATGTGTTCTTTCTCAACAGAAGGGGTCTGAGGCTCTAATTTTAACTGAATCACAAGTTCAGTTGCTCACCCCTTGCAGAGTTGAATTCACAAGAGTGAGGTCTGGTATAAAGAAAGTGACTTTTTAAACAAAATTTTATTTTTAATTTTTGTGGGACATAATAGTTATATATACTTACAGGGTACATGAGATGTTTTGATACATGCAGCCAATAATCACATCATGGAGAATGGAATATCCATCCCCTCAAGCAATTATCCTTTGAGTTACAAACAATCAAATTACACTATTTTAGTTATTTTTTTAAAGTACGATTAAATTATTATTGACTATAGTCACCCTGTTGTGCTATCAAATAGTAGATCTTATTCTATTTTTTTTGTACCCACTAACCATCCCCACCTATCCTCCAGCCCCCACTTCCCTTCCCAGCCTCTGGTAACCATCCTTCTACTCTCTGTGTCCATGAATTCAATTGTTTTGATTTTTAGATTCCACAAATAAGTGAGCGCATGCGATGTTTCTCTTTCTGTGCCTGGCTTATTTCACTTAATGATTTGCAGTTCCATCCATGTTGTTGCAAATAACTAGAGCTCATCCTTTTTTATGGCTGAATAGTACTCCATTGTGTATATGTACCACATTTTCTTTATCCATTCATCTGTTGATGGACACTTAGGTTGCTTCCAAATCTTAGCTGTTGTGAACAGCGCTGCAACAAACATGGCAGTGCAGATATCTCTTCAATATACTGACTTCCTTTCTTTTGGGTATATACCCAGCAGTGGGATTGCTGTGCCATACGGTAGCTTGGTTTTTAGTTTTTTGAGGAACCTCCAAACTGTCCTCCGTAGTGGTTTGCTAATTTACATCCTTACCAACAGTGTATGGAGATTTTCAATAAAATGACTTTTACGCCAAAGATTAGCTTAGGCGAAGTATAGGATCCTGACTTTAAGGGTATCACTTTGCTTTTGGGGCAGAAAGCAGGGACTTTTAAAGGAGAAGTTGACATGAATGGCATGCAGGGAAGAGAGTAAGCAGGTGAGGTGACTTGCTTTTGTGTCTTATGTACCAGGTGGTTGAGGGTGCCATCAAGGGCAGAACTAGATTGTAAAGTGACCATTGTCTCAAGATATCCTCCTGGTGGGAGAGAGTTTTGTTGTGGGCATGCTTTAGGTTGTAAATTGAGTGCTGTCTCTTGAGGCAGTCTCCTGGTGGGTGAGATTTTTTACTCTGGAGCTTCTAAGTAAGCACATAGATAGGCTTGCCCTGTAGGGCGTGCCTGGTGAAGGGAAGATAAAGGTTATCATTGCATTTTTAAAGAGCTAACTAGGGAGTGTGGAAAAGCAGAAAAGAGAAAAGAAGAAAAAAATTTAAATAATAACTCATTTTCTTTCTCTTAAAAAAATAGGGGTGCTTGGTTGTATAATGATAGCTAAACTGTTAATGACTTAAGTATTGGCTCCATTAGCACAAGAACAGAAAACCAAACACTAAATGTTCTCACTCATAAGTGGGTGTTGAACAATGAGAACACACGGACACAGGGAAGGGAACATCAGACACTGAGGCCAGGGGGGTGAGGGGCTAGGGGAGGAATAGCAGGGGTTGGGGGGATTGGGGAGGGATAGCGTTAGGAGAAATACCTAATGTAGATGACGGGACGATGAATGCAGGAAGCCACCATGGCACGTGTATACCTGTGTAACAAACCTGCACGATCTACACATGTACCCCAGAACTTAAAGTAGAATAAATAAATAAATAAGAAATGAAGAATGTGGCAGTACCAGGAGGAGCAGGGAGGCTTGGGGGGACCTCTGGAGAGTCCTTCACACATAACAGAGGCTGACGGCTATGACACAGCTGCCACTTTCCAAAGCCCACTGTTCCTTCCCCTCTTTCACTCCATGGAAACATGCTCCCCTGAGGCCTGCTCTTGAGAAAAATGCAGAGGAGAAGACCTGTCACCAGTGACCCAAGGACTCCCCACAGGTATATTTTGACACAGTGCCAACTGGTGCACATAGTAGGTGCTTATTCAATTTTTGTTGCTTGAACAGTGCAGAATATCTGAATATGAATGACCTGCATCAAAAGAATGGAGATTATTTTTCTGAGTGAGAGTCTCCACTTGATAGGAAAAGGTCCACGGAGTGTGGAGGAGAATCTTTCGGGGTCTGACTCCCAGGTAGCTGATAAAACTCGATCCTCACAGATTCCTCCTCCATAGAAAGTCTCTACCTTTCTTCTAACTAAGGTGCCTTTTGCCGAGAACAGTGGGAAGCACGTGGTTCAACTGGTAGTTTTACAATTGAGGTAAATTTTAATGCAAGGATTATAGATGTGAGATACCACACCCATCTGATCTTGCTTTTAGATATTTGTGCCTATACCGCTACAAGCACAAGCTTAAGCATCGTCATATAAACTCATCATGGTCACGAAACAGGATGCAATGTGACAAAACTAAATTGTCCTTGGCAGACTTGCACTGCTTTCCACTTTGTCCACGTTGAATAACACTATGACACATTATTTTGGTCAGTTTCTTAGAGGCACGTATTAAAGGTAGGTAACTCAAGCTGTAAGATTTAACTAAAAAGGAAGGATAGTACATTGGAGGCTTTTCTTCTTTTCCTTCTGCAAGGACTTCATTTTCTTATGCTTGGATAATTTCTTGTTATTCTTAAGAAAATGTCATTAGATATCTCAAGATTCATACCCATACTGGATAGAGGATGCTGTGGACTGATGGAGAGGAACACGGGGACAGTAGAAGTGGAAAGGGTTGCCAAAGATGTTTCATTTGGGGGAATTGAATGAAGGCTGCCAACAGCCGGGCATTCTGACTTTATGTCTTACAAGGAGGGAATCCAGATAGAATTTCTCCATTTATGGAGTATTATATGCTTTAAAATTAATGTTCTTATGACAGAAATGTACTTGAGGCATTAGATAGGTTACCTAGCTTGATTTAATTATTCCTCATTGTATCTACAATTTATGATACTACTTTGTAACCCACAAATTTATGCAATTATAAATTGTCAATTTACAATCAAAAATTTATTGCATCTTTTTAGAAAAAAAAAGAATCTTAATGTAAAAGCTTCATGAAAATTGCTTCCTCTTTGATTTCTACCAAATAGTTTTTTAAAGAGTTCTCAAAGAATTTAGCACATATGGCAATTTCTTTTATATTAAAGACCAATTTCTCTACCATATATTTATCATACACTCCTCTTGTGAAATGAAATATTTTTATTTATTCATTTCAAGATTTACAGCAATGGCAATTAACAAAATACACCAAAAGCTTCAAATTTAGCTGCATACTTTAAAAAAATGGTTAAGAAGTAAAAGACACTTTAAAAACTATCCATCTCAGTTCTTAAATGGCATCTAACCCTTAGAAGTCAAATATTATAGCAAATATTTGTAAAAGCAACTGTAAATAAAACCAAATGCAACCACAGCATAATATTACCATGTAGCCATAGATATGTGATAAATCTGAACAGCAGCTTAATATTAGGACCATTAGTCACAGTGGCAAAAGTTCTCAGATATTGAAAAGAAGGTGTATTAGGTCAACTACTAAGATGGTCCACAGTGATCCCTGCCTCCTGATATTCACAATCTATGACCAAGATAGCAGGCCATGCCAGGACGACAGTCAAGAGAAAATAGTTTTTGACCAACTGAGGCAATCACAGCTCACCATCTTGGTCTTCAGTTGTTTTCCCTGGACTGAGGTGGTCACTCCCGTGGAACTGGTCAGACCTGTGGTTTACTTCTGACAAATAGAATATAGCCAAAGTGATGGGATATCACTTTTCTGATTAGATTATGAAAGATTGTGACTTCATCTTACAAGCAACCTCTCTTTTTTTGCTAGCTCTGAAGAAGCAAGCTGCCTTGTGGGAGAGGTTCACATAGCTCACATGAGCATAGCCTTTGGCCAATAGCCCAGGAGGAATTGAATCCAGAAAACAACCACATGGATGTGATCCCAGAGATGCCTGTGCCTCTGGTGGACACCTACATTGCAGCCTCTGAGACACCCTGAGCAGAGGACCCAGTTATGCTGTGCCTGGACTGCTGACCCTCAAAAACTCTGGGCTAGCAAATGTCTTGTTTTAAACCACTAAGTTTTGGGGTAATTTGTTACATAGCAATAGATGACTAAGACAGAAATGTCATTCTTTTTTATTTTTATTATGGGGCAAAACCAGGACTTAACATCAGTTAGTATTGCTTAATAGAATCAACATACATATTATTATACCGTGAATCATTTTCAGTTAAGACCACATTTCTTAGAGTTTGCCAAAACAAGCCTTCTGCCTTTGGGTTGTCAGGCCACTGGAGGATGGAGCTCTTACAGATCCGCTGCCGGAGCCTCAAATATTGAGAATGCTGTAACACTGGCTCCAGCAGGATAAATATAATCACATCCATGTTCTCATCCATTAGCCTCTGCAAAGCCAAGTAAAACGCTGTTTTAAAGTTCCAGCTTTTTGCATATTTTTTTGTTAAAACAAATACTGTTTTCTTGCTTTGATTGATGCTCTGCATGAGGTTTTCGATGATGGCCAGTCCCGGGTCCCAATCCCTCTCCTCTAGACAAAGGAGAACGTTTTTGTCTTGACTCTCTTCCAGGTGGTAGCGCAGCTCATTTATCACCCAGTCAGTAACAGAGGCATCTTTGGTGTCATAAGAAATGTAAGCATCATAGAAAGTTTGGGATGTGGAAAGATACCTGTAGCCTTTTACCTTAGCTAAACACACATTATAGATAAACCAAACATCCCAATAAAATAAATGGTGAGCCAGGGCAGCTAACATAACCATGGTGGTTATAAAGAAGGTGAAGAGAAATAATATCACTGCAGTGACATCTGAAACACAAGTTGTTAGCTCCAGATTCACAATACTCTTCCCTCTTTGATCCCCAGGACTGGCACAAATGACATCTACCAGCCTGGGAATTGTGACATTCAGATGTTTATCCATCCATCTTCGGAAATCTCCTATGTCACAGGTGCATTCAAACTCGTTTCCGTGTAGTTCCAAAATAGATAAATTGGTGGTGGTCTTAGTTTCAAGTGCAGATTGGTTGATCATTTTTAGCTGGTTGTAACTTAAATCGATGTGTGCCAGACTACTGACTTCAGAAAGAAAGCCAGAGGGCAGGTGGGAAATCGTGTTATGACTCAGCAGCAGTGTCTGAAGGGAAGATGTAAAATCAGATAGGCTATCAGTTAAAAAGAATAATTTGTTTCTACGTAAGTCAAGCAACTTGAGACAAGGAAACTGCTGGAGTAATGTCCAGTTAAAAAACTGTAATATATTATTATTTATATGTAATTCGGTGAGACTCGCTGGCAAATTAAGGAATGCTTCATTCGGGATATGCTTGAGCTTATTATAGGATAAATCAAGCCGTGTCAGATTCGTGAGACCTTTGAAAATGGAGATATACCTGTTATCATCACCATTCCACAAAATGTCAAGGCGATTGTCACTGAAAACTAATTCTACCAGGGACTTGCTTTCCAGGTTGTACTTATCCGTTAAAGTATAAATGTTGTTGTGGCTCAAGTTTAAAACTTTTAGATTTGTAAGATTTTGAATAAATTCTAGATGATGTGTTACCCCTGCTATTCGGAAATAGTGTGAATTATGACTGAGATCTAGAACTTCCAAGTCAGACAGTTCAGTAAGAGCGCTAGCATTATCGAAGTCTAGTCTATTGTTTGTCAAATCCAAATACTTGACGTGAGGCACGGCTGAAAATTCGGTTCCACTTAACACTTGAGCATTGCTATTTTCAGACAGATTTAAACAGGCAATGTCAGGAAGATTTTCAAATTGCTTTGGCCCAATGAAGAAAATAGAGTTGAGGCTTAAATCTAAGGCTTTGCCATAAGCAGTACATTGTGGCTTTATTAAAGGTCGAGTGAAATGATAAAAATTCGAATGTGGGTCAAACTCAAAATCTGTAGAGCGTCGCTTCAGGATGTGACGTTGAAAAGAGGAACCATTTGCATAACTCTGCCTGGCATCTTTTACCAATGGTGATATTCTGTTTTCTGACAAGTAAATGACTTCCAGTTTGGGGAAATTTTTGAAAAGGGTGAAATCGATTTGCTTAATAAAATTAATACCCAAGTTGATAGTCGATAAGTTTTGAAGCTCCATCAGGGGCTGGAAGTCTTCTTTTCTGAGTTCCTGGAACACATAACCTCTTAAATGCAATGCCCGTAGAGACAAAAGTTTAGAGAAGTTTTTGGAAATATTAATGTGCTGTGGATAACTCCCCTTTTCATAGTTAAAAGACAAGTCAAGTATTTCTAAGCGGGGCAGCATCGTTAAAAACGCCCCGGAGGCTATTTCTTTCATTAAATAGTTGAATTCAAGATCCAGCACCCTCAGATAAGGCATATTTTTAAACCAGGCAGCATCAATCTTCCTGAGGGAAGTGCTAGACAGGTTTAGGTATCGAAGTTGAGTCAAGTTTTGAAAGGCAAAACTATGTATATTAATTGAAGCGCCTCCATGACAAGGTACGCATGGAAATGGGGCATTGAAGCACCTCGGACAGTTCCCGCTTAAATCCAGTAATATCAAATTTGTCAGTCCCTTGAAATCTTCTTCACTAATGTTTTTGATCTGCGTGTTGCTCAAATAAAGTTTGCGTAGGGAGCTTGGCAGTTTGGGTGGCACATGGGAAAGACAATTGAAAGATAGTGATAGCACCTGCAAATTTGTCAACGTTTCAAATACCCCATCTTCTATGTTAGTTTTATTACAAACTTTGTCAAAATAGCAGTTCCAGGCCAAATAGAGACTTTCCAAGTGTACAAGTCTCGAAATGCCCTCTTTGGTTATGTTGTATATATTGTTTTGAATTAGACTAAGTTCTGTCAAAGACTCTGGCAAACCAGAGGGTATTTGGGGTAATTGGTTGTCTTCAAGCAGTAATTCCCTTAGGTTTTTTAGGTTGAGGAATGCCCCATCTGTGATATTCAAGATATTCGACTGTATACCAGGATTTCTGTCCTGGTGCTGAACATTGGGGTTGTGGTTTAGATTTATTTTAGTGAGGTTTTGCAGCCCTTGAAATGATTCATTCGTTATGTGTGTGATGAAATTATCAGACAGGTCTAGTTCTGTCACATATTTGCCCACCGTTTGGGGAACTTCATGTAGTCGACGATTGCTGCACTCTGCAATAACAGAGCCATTTTGCTTTTTCTCATCACAAGGATAGCTTCTAGAATAATTTTCTTCAGTGAATAACTCATAGGAACCAGATATTAGCAGGAAAAAGCAGATCAGCACTGATGACTGAAGGAACATGTTTTCCTAAGGAAAATAAAAAATGGAAGCACAATATTAGTGTAGCAGTATTTGCCAGGTGTTTTGTAAATAAATTAGAAGTGCTACACCATACTTGTATGAGTTTTGAAGTGTGCGTTTGCTTAACAGTTACATAAATTGCGTCAGATTAGGTCCAGAATGATTTTCCTTTTTACTATGTTCAGCTTCACGGTGCTAAAAGAAGTTGAAGATGGGCTGGGTGTGGTGGCTCACACCTGGAATCCCAACATTTTGGGAGGCCGAGGTGGGAAGATGGTTTGAGCCCAGGAGTTTGAGACCACACTGGGCAACGTAAGGAGACCCTGTCTGCACATAAAAAAATTTAAAAAAAAATTAGCCAGCTGTAGTGGTGCATGCCTATAGTACCAGCTACTCGGGAGGCTGAGGTGGGAGGATGGCTTGAGCTCCTGAGGTCGAGGCTGCAGTGAGCCATGGTCCTGCCACTGCACTCCATCCTGGACAACAGAGTGAGACCTTGTCTCAAAAACCAAAATAAAAGGAGGTTGAAGATGAAGCTATCTGAGATTACGATGATAAGACGACCTGGGAAACTTCCGCAGAGGCCGTTAATCAAGATACTCCACCACTATAAGGACTTTAAGCTGGACCACAGCTACGGTTTATCAGTCTATAGCTTAACAAGCTATATATTTATAGCCTCAACCTACTGACATGACACTTGATGAAACTTTGGCCAGCCCCCCAAGGAGAATTCAGATGCAACTTCTAATATGGTATCATGCAAGATCTTCAAGGCAGAGTCATCTTTACCTTATCTGTACAACCACATCTCTCTTACTGGTATTTCCCACAATTTTTTTATACCTCTATGGTGACATATGTTATGTTTTCTTCTTGCATGACTGGAAAGTGGACACCTTATGTTGATAATAATAAACAAAATGTTAGGTATTGTGCTAAGTGCTTCATAAACATTTCATCACCCACATTAATGCTCATAGGAACATGACGCAGTAGGTCCTATTATTACCTATATTTTGTAGATGAAAAAACAAACTCAGTGACTTAAGTACCTTTCTGAAGGAAGGTACGTTGTAGTGCTGGGACTTGAGCCAATCTGATTTCAAAGTCATATTTTTAACAACTAAGCCATCATGCTACACAATCTCCTTTTGAGATCCTTGTGCCTTAACAGTGCCTCAAATGTAAACAGCAGTCAAAAAACTGTTTGGGGGATGACTATTACTCAACAGGTTCCTTATCACACAAACATTAGCATTAATAGCTATTTACTTGCTAATTTTGAAACTTCCCTAGGGAAGACACAGGTGCTTTATATTTTTATACACCCCCAGTAACACAGGAGAGTGCCTCACTTTCTGTAACTGTTTCTTAATAAATAGAGGGCTGAATGTATCAGTTTTGGTGACCATACAATGCAACAAACAGATTAATGTGATCCGTTTGATCAAGGGTTATAATTAAGAGAACTCTCAAAAATCTTCTTTCAATAGATACGGAAACGAGCCTAGATTTTTCACTAAAGCCAAAATCATGTCTCTATTATGGGTTAAACCAGATAGGTGCCTTCTTTTTAAATTCTCCTAAAATTTAGGGCTGGTGAACTAACACCTTTATATGTCACACCCTTGCTATGTTATAAAAGATTTTTATGTGGACGTTGATTATTCTAAGGCTCAATAATTATTGCCCATTTGTAACAGCCAAGGAAAAGCCAGCTCCTTTTGAGATGGAAATTGAAGTGGAGCAGAACTCCCAGTCTGGTTCAGTTGCTTGTAGTTGTTTTCAAATGCAACACTATGGTGATGTTGCTGCTTAATGTTTAACTTGCACTAAAACAAGGCTCTAATATACCTGGTGTGGTAGGCAGAATTTTAAGACGGCCCTATGAATTTTGTCCTGGGTATTACTGCTGTGATGGCATTTTATTATATGGGATATGGGAATTTATCTGGATGGGCTTAATCTAATCACATGAGCCTTTGAAAGCAGAACTTTTTTTCTGGTTATCGGCAGCAGGAAAAGTCAGAGGGGTAGGACGTATGACAGAATTGGGTGCACGATTTCTGGCTTGAAGATGTGGGACCCCCACAACAAGGAATGCAGGCAGCCTGTGGAAGCTAAGGGTGGCTCTCTGCAGGTAGCTAGCAAGGAAATGGGGTTTGCGCAGCAGCGGTGGTGGTGGAGTGGTGAGTCGAACAACAACTGCAAGGAACTGAAATCACTTGACAATCTGGATGAACCTGGAAACAAATGTTTACTCAGAGTCTCCAGTTGAGAGCCCACCTTGGCTTTATGAGACCTGGAGTAGAGAACTCAGGTCAACCTGCCCAGATTCTGACTTACGGAAATTTAGGCCAATCAATGGGTGTTGTTTGAAGCCCCTACATTTGGAAGAGATTTGTTCTGCAGTAATAGAAATCTAATACATCTAGATGCTATGGATTCTAAGATGATTTATGGCTTGAAAACATGGAGCTCCTACAGAGGCAGCCACGGGTCTCCAGGCTTCACATCTGCACTGGGATACATAGGCATAACAAAGGAAGGGGCAATGGGGCAGAGACAGGCAAGGCAGTTTGTGGGAGATGCCACAGGCAGTGCTGTGTTTGCTCAGGCACCTGAGCAGATCTGAACCTGTGTGATTTCCAAGTCTCAACGTTGCTAGGTTTCAAAGTCACTTCCAGACTCATCCCTGCCTTTATTAGCTAGGGTGGCCAGGGGAGTCTGTTTGATTACTCTCACAATATATGAATTGGCTCCCAGTCTCGTGGGGAAAACAGATATGACTTAAACACAACATTACAAGGTTTTCACTGTGATTAAAAAAAGAGAAGTGCATGACACCGTAAGAGCCTAATGAGGTGAATTTGGCCTAGTGGTGGAAACTAGAGAAGATTTCCATAAAGAAGTGAATCCTACGCTGAGACGGGTGGATCACCTGAGGTCAGGAGTTCAAGGCCAGCCTGACCAACATGGAGAAATCCCATCTCTACTAAAAATACAAAATCAGCCGAGTGTGTTGACATATGCCTGTAATCCCAGTTTCTTGGGAGGCTGAGACAGGAGAATCGCTTGAACCTGGGAAGTGGAGGTTGCAGTGAGCCGAGATCGTGCCACTGCACTCCAGCCTGGGCAACAAGAGTGAAACTTCATCTCAAAAAAAAGAAGTAAAACCTGAACTGCAATTCGAAAATTGAGTAGGCATGTGGAAGGCATAACCAGGATGTCAAAGGAATTTTTCAGGAAAAGGGAGTGGCATGTGCGAAGGCCCTGTGTCTATTCCAGTGACTTTCCCAGGTTGTGCCTCCAGAGAAGCCCTGAGACAAGGAATTCAGAGAGATGTGGTATGGGCCTGAGAAGAGGCACATCAGCTTTCGTGTTTGCCTCAGTAGGACTGCTTGCCACGGTACGGCCTAGAGGACTGGGATGGCGCAGAGGAAGTGGCTAATGGAGATATCATTGAGGTTCTCATTATCGTTATGTCACCACATTGAGTGGACATTTTTCAGTCCTCATCTTATTGAGCACGTAAATTTAAGAGACTGAGAGAAAGCCAGGGACTTCAGACCAGGTGCAGTGGCTCACGCCTTAATCCCAGCACTTTGGGAAGCTGAGGCAGGTGGATCACTGGAGCTCATGAGTTCAAGACCAGCCTGGGCCGTGTGGTGAGATCCTGTCTTTACAAAAAATACAAAAATAGATAGCAGGTCATGGTGGCACATGCCTATGGTCCCAGCTATTCAGGAGGCTGAGGCTGGAGGATTGCCTGAGCCTGAGCGGTGGAGGCTACAGTGAGCCATGATTGCACCGCTGCACTCTAGCCTGGGGGACAGAGACCACTCTTCTCAAAAAAGGAAAAAAAGACCAGAGTGGTTTTTTAAAAATATTTATTAAATTGACAACCAAAAATTGTGTGTATTTACGATGTACAACATGGTGTTTTGAAATATGTATAGTTGTGGAATGGCTCAGTCAAGCTAATTCACATCTGCATCACCTCATATATTTACCATTTTTTGATGGTAAGAACACTTTAAATGGACCCTTCTAGTGATTTTCAAGTGTGTAATATATTATTGTTAACTATAGTCGCCATATTGTACAATGGAGCTCTACAATAGAACTTTTCCCTCCTGCCTAACTGAAATGTTGTGTCCTATGACCAACCTCTCCCCTATCCGCCTACACCCCCAAGAGTGGATTTTGATCTTCATCTGAGAAGTGATGTGAGGCTTTCAAGGTTTTAAGCAAGGTGGCACCATGCTTAGATCGATTCTGCAGTGGTCACTGGCAAGAGGGCACAGGACTTCAGTCATGAGATGATGGGAGTTTGAACTAGGGTGGTGGCAATAGAGATAGAAAAAATGCATTCAAGAGATATTTAGGAGGTACGTTTGAGAGACATAGCAATGGACGAATAAAGGGAGGTAGAGGTTGCGAGGGACAGGGATGCAATCAAAGTGACTTCTAGGTTCCTGGTCTGTGCACCTGGATGGATGGATGTCATTCACTGAGAAGGAAGATTGGGGTGAGGGCTGTCATTAATTAAATTTGACAGGTTGCTTTTGAGTTGCATCTGTGATATTCAAGTAGAGATACCCAGTCGGCGGTTGAGTGTGTGGGTCTGAAGCTCAGAGGAAAGTTCTGATAGAGGAATGAATTTGGGAGTCATGACAATTGAAGCCATGGGTATGAATGAGATCATTCAGGGTAGTGTAAGGCATAAAGCATCTTCCATGCTTCCGTTTTATAAAAAATTTTCTCCTCTTTTTTTCTAGTAATTTTTTATGATTTCATTTTCTTATCCCGTTGGAATTGTTTAGGTATAAAATGTGAGGTTGACACCCACATTATTTTTTTCTTTTTTCTTTTTTTAGGTTTTGTCAATTTACTTCACATAAGAAGAGCGTAGTTCAGGCCTTTACCATTTAGTAACAAAAACAGCCTGTACAGAAAACCCAAAGGCAACCACATAGCACATGTAAAATGTGCAAATATAA